GGCGGCTGCGCCCCCCCTTGTGGTTGGTGTGGGAGCCGTTGGAGTAGCTGAGGAGGACGAGTTTCCGCTGCGGGTCCTCCGTGTCCCGCTTCCACGTGGCCGTCCCGAAGCGCAGGGTCAGCTCTTGGAGCTTGGGGGGGACCCGCAACGTCGTCACCTTCCCCAGGGTGCCCAGCGCCGTCTCCCTCGCCCCGTGGCCCGTGCCTGGGAAGGGAGAGAAGAGCTGAAGAGGGCAGGGGGAGGTTGGGAGCGATCGGCGTTGGACACACCCTGGTAATCCAGAGATTGGGGACATCTTGGGTGGCGTGAGATAAACGGGTGGAAAACGGAGTGGATTTTCTAACCGCATTATCAGGCCCTGCGATTGGGAGCACGAGTCGCACGATCCGCCAGGGTTCACCGTGAGCTCTGCCCCCTGCCCACCCCATGAGATCTTCCTTGGGGCCACCCCTCAGCCCCACATCCTCAGCCCCAATGGATGGAGGTTGAGGGCTTGGCCAAGCGTTGCCTTCCTCCACTCTTCCTCCTCACCCTTCATTTGCATCATCCTTGGCGTTGTCCCGCATCGGGTACCACTGCGAGCGATGGCCAAATCCCGATTTGAGGCTCTGGGCTGGCACAGTGACAGCCAGAGCGGTGAAACATCACCCCTTGAGCAGTGGCTCCCAGTCCGGTGGGGATGCTGGCGCTGGGAGAAGGGTGCTGGGGGTGGTGGGATCGGCCTGGAGAAGTCCTGGTGGGAAGCAAAGCTCCGTGGTCCTTGGCCAATGCCCACAGTTGGGTATAGATCGTGGCACCCCACGTCCCTCGAGCGCCGCAGCTCCAGAAACCTTCAGTGGGACTTTTCTTGTAGACCTTGCAGGAAACGCAGCCTCCTGAGACGGACTTGGGTGCAAATCCCGGGTTGTCCTTCACCTGGTTGAGGTGGTCCCAAGTTTCTTGATGGACACCAAAAAGCATTCTTGGGGGGTGCCAGCATCCTGAGATTTGGGCCACCCCCATGTCCCAGAGCACCTCAACCACCCTCTTTTCCTGGAGAGCTCCTCTCCCAGCCCCGTTCCATCTCTGGCTGCGAGCAGGTGATTCACATTTACCAGCACCCCCGGGCAAACGTGATGATTGTTTTTGTAGGAAACGGCGTGGGGTGAGGTGCCAGCTCAGCACCGGCAGCACAGCGGGGACCCCACGGTGTCACCCCCACATTTCCTCCCATCTCCTTTCCATCAGGGCCAGAAAGGAAGCGGAGCTGCCCCAGAAGCGCAGGGATGGGTTGGCCCAGCTAAGCCCAGTATCCACCTCTCCAGTGGCACATTTCCAGTAAAAAAAACCACAGAGCAAACCCTCTCCCCGCCGCCGTCCCAAGCGAGTGCCATCGCTTAAGTTTCTTCCTCCTCCGTGGCCCAAAACGCAGCAGTTTCTGAGCTCTCCCCAGGGGACATCGTCTCCCCGGTGCCGAAGCAGCCACGCGAACGCGGCCGTGGTCCCGCAGAAACCCCGCGG